TGCCAACTTATATGAAGCAAGCATTTAATGTGCAGCAGCTGAAATAGCAGCATATTACGATTATATTTTACTTCTTCAAGACCAAATTTCACGGCTGCTGTACCTCCCTTGCCAAGGGGACCATTTATCACGCTCCGTACTGTTTGAGAGCTTTCAGTGCCAAATCGTCTCATCATGTGTTACGCCACAGCCACCTCACGCTGCTTACGACCGATGTTTCAGCAGCTCGTATTCTTATTATCAAAATCAAAATTGTTTCATGAGGGAGAGCATATTGAATGCTACGTGACTCTTCCTACATAGCGCACCGTCATTTTTTTCAGTAGCTTGAGAAATGGTCATTTACAGTGGACCAGTTCTAGTCGAAACTGTTCGTCAATGAGTAGAGTTTCTTTCTGTCAAAACATAACGATTGGTTGGCAATTTGGATCAAGAGTGAATCTGCCAGTTAGACAACTCTCAGATAACAGGTTTGTTACTGGCTGTGATATGAATAAAACCACGGTAATTACTGTTAGCACATAATATTGTGATTTCTTGCACATTAAAACTGTATCAGTGGCACAAGATAAGTTATTAACGCTCAAAACAACAGTTTTGCAATTGAAGTGCTAGTGAAAGTAAATTTCGATACTTATACTGATATTAAATTCGTACTTATAATTACAGTTGCTTAGTGCTTAAAATTGTAATTTAAATTTATAATTACTGGCTTTCAGCCAGTTTCCACAATTTTATTTCAGATGTTTGATGCCTCTTTTAGTAGACATTGTTTTGTAGAATTCGAAACAAAGCCTGATGCAAACATTTCTGACGAAAAGCCATATGCACACTTGGATTTATCAGACCAGCTTGAGAAGCAAAAGGTAATGATTTGGCAACTGATTTACGTTATTTGGTTTCCGTCATTTCTTTTAAATGATTAAGCAGGATTTGGTTAATAAGCGCAGGCGATACATTTTATAGCCTCGTGGTTAACAGTGTGAAAAATTACCAACTTAGACGACGCAGATGTTACTTGTTTAATGGATCATAGTAGTACTTGGAGATTTTTTAGGAAAATGAAAGAAAAAATCTGAGGCTGATGGATGGAACAGGATGTGGTCAGTTAGAAAAATACAACTAGAATGTTTACAGCGTGTCATATCGGTTCACGTTAGTCAAAGGGCCTTCAGGACTGCGATCGTCATTATCTATGTTTGCAGAAATTGGTTGCACTGATTAGCCACTGAGTCATTTAACTGCCAGTGTCTGCTTTCAAAACCTTATAAATGATGCGTTAGCCATATGGTTATTGCGCTGTTTGACAGTATGAACAGTGCCTACTGCTTTTTCGGAGTTGAATATTCTGGATTACATTGCGTGGCTAGCAATATGCTGCGTGTTGCAGGAAATTATCCTAGCAACTACTACTATGACCGATATTTAATCGACAGCGACACATTGTCTAAGTAAACAATCTATGGCTTGCGTAAAGTATTACAAATGACTTCATCGTATGAAATGTTTTGGAGCAGTTTGATCTGTTTTAATGAATTTACTTTCAACAGGAATTGTTAGAAATTTCTCGAATGCAGCTGAGCTTTTCTGAAAAGTCTAGACTTGAGCAAGATATTGAACTGCAACAATTACGAGAAACTGTGGAGCAGTTGCAATCGAAATCTGACAGGAACGTTACTTTGGGTATGAATCGTAAATGTTTATGGCATTAATCATGCTTTTAGCGAAACTGCACAACGACATCATTAGCTATAAACTGCAGCTGACTTCAAAAGAATTTGAGCTTCGCACTTCAAATGAGCGCAGCGTGTCTTGGGAAGCTCAGCTGTTACGCTTCAGGATGGCAATCGACGAAAAAACGAGAGTCATGCAACAAGAAAGAAATTATTTCACTTCAAAGCTACAGTACCTTCGGAAAACCAACCAGGTATTTTCTTATTGTCTCGAATAATTCCCATAATGATTTATGGGCTCAGTGTACTTTGCTGTGTTCAGCATAAGTGAAGGCAGATAGAAGAACAACAGTATTATAAGAATCACTAGCTTCTGTGCATTTCACGGTCAGATCTGTACAATGCATTTTAAAAAAAAGATCTTGATAATTTCATTGGTGGCGTGTCAAGACATTGGGAAGATATGGATTCGAATTCTAAACGATGAATTCGATTTCTTTCATTAGCAGATAGATTATCGTGATTATCGTCCTTTACAAGAGAAGAAGGTTTGGAGCGATGCGTTGCACTATGCGCATATACAAGAAAAGTTTAACAAATTGCGGTAAGCATTGACTTTAAAGCAATTAGATACTTTTCTTCCTTTCCATGTTTCAGCAGCACAGACCTTT